CCGACAATGTACGAAGCTATCCGAAGAATACCGAATGGACAGAAGTAGAGAACCAATCAGAAGTTGGGACCGCATTGGCCAAACTTTTTATTATAGGATCTCTAGAGACTATTAGTCGGCTATAAGTTGGCATTCAGTCTGACTTTAAAGTCGACTTCAGGGTAGCGATCATGTAATTTCACGCGGAAAGTTTCACTTTTCAATGGTCCCATGAACTTTCGAAACGTGCGGATGCGGAAAGTGCGGATTGAAAACCCCAAAAAAGAACTAGAGTCCGCATGTTTCCGTCCGTAGATTCCGCAGAAGTGTAATGCCTTATGTCCCATGGTACTAATAATGCGGGCGCGGATATAATGTAGTCCAATCGCAAATAGTATTCCGCTGAAGCAATTGAAACATTCTTCTAAAGCAGCGCTGTGATTGGTGGGCGCATGATATTTTTCCGTATACTTCGAGCCATGGGACATAAGGAAATATAAAATTGCGGAACATGCGTAGAACTGATGTCTGGAAAATTGAAAGGTTATTTGAGGTTATCTCGCTGCCCAACGGATATCACGTAATTCGGTAAATGTACGCCGAAAAATTGTTTATTATAATCACCGTGTTAATGAAAAGGCTGAAAAATCGCAGCAATGATCCAAGGCGACAAAATTTATTAAAAAGAAAAATTTCCAAATTGTACAGCCTGTATTTAATTGCAAAAAAAAGGAGGAAAGCAATTTCGTAAGTATTGGGTAAGACCAATATTTACCGAAAGCAGAAGACTACAACAAGGAGCAAGTGATAATTTAATTGAAGAGATGGAAAGTGATGACGTTGAAAAATATCACGAATACTTCAGGATGTCGCCAGAATTATTTTACAAATTATTGGAATTGGTGAGGCCAGACATTGAGAAGCAGTGTGTAGTGCGAGCTCCAATTTCAGCTAAAATCAGACTCCAAATTACACTCCGATACTTATCATCTGGAGATAGCATGAAGTCCTTGTCTTATGCCTTTCGTGTTGGACATAATACAATATCCAAATGCATACATTCCACATGTGAAGCTATATGGAACCATCTTAAGGACTCTGTTTTCATTAAGGATAACGAAGAGAGTTGGAAGGATATCGCAAAAGACTATGAAGACTTGTGGGACTTCCCAAACTGTATAGGGGCAATAGATGGGAAGCATGTAATGATTCAGGTAAAAATACAATACATGATTACGATTCGCAACATTAATTTAAATACAAACCGTATAAATATGATTTCGAGTATCGGTTATATGTATACTTTATTTCTGTACATCTTTGTTAGGCTCCACCAAATAGCGGATCTTCTTTTTACAACTACAAGGGCCATCATAGCATTAATTTGCTTGCAGTTTGTGATGCAAGATACTGCTTCACTATGGTTGACATAGGTGCTAAAGGTAGGGAAAGCGATGGGGGAGTTTTTGCTCATAGCGAAATTGGAAAAAGATTTGAGAATGGCTCGTTCAATCTTCCTCCATCACAGAAAGTAGGAAGTAGTGGACCAGTTGCACCTTTCGTTCTAGTGGCAGATGAAGCCTTTCCCCTAACTACATATATGATGAGGCCATTTCC